TTGACAGTTGATGTTTGACTTATTTACTGAATCTCGCGTATTTTGGCTTATTATAAAAGAATTTTAAGTTGCGCATTTTAAACGGAAAATCTCTACACAACAAAAGTAGCAGCGTCGGCAGATTCCTTAACCAATTCGTTGTCAATTTTATTACTTCACGCTTTTTGCTACAAATTGATCACATTTCTATCTGCTTGGCTCAACTGCATGTCTCAAATATCAATCAAAAAGCAATATTTACATTTTTTACTTAGCCATGCGGGCAAAAGGAAATTTGCCGTTAAAAAATATAAACGAAACTCTCGCGTTGCCAAAGCAATGAAACAAAACGAAATAAATCAAGGAAAAAACATACTTAGGAAGTCAAACAGTGGGGAGTGCTCCACTTGTAAATATTCTGTACAACTAAAGCTTATACAAAAACAACATAAATTTAATATTTGGTTAGTCTTTGTATATCTTAAATAAATAAAAAGGGCAATCAAAAGAGAGAAAAACTTGACCTTAATGGCATCAATATAAAAGATCTGTTCGGTTAAAGGCTAGGAATTAACAACCATGTTCGATGATAAGTGAAAATCTACAGTAAAGTAAATTCAGTTTTGACTAATGAAGAATAAAAATGTTTAAGAAATTGGTACACTTACAATAGGCCTTATTAATAAATTTATATTGGTACAGAGTATACAAAGTGCCAATACGACTGTAATATAAAACGAAAAGGATCGAAAACTAGAGGGATATACGTTTGAAAGCGACCTTGGAACCGCTTGTTGGGGCTATGGTCGCCAGCTGAATAGGAATTAAACTAATATTTATCAAAGAGCTGAGTGAGACGTGCTTCAGCTGAACAAAAGCAATGCCAACATGGCCGGCGCCAAAGCAAAGTGGCCGGAAAACATCAAGAGAAACCCAGAAATATGAGACAACGACTTGAATGAAAAGAAAAAGAAACGGACATGATGGCAGACACCAAGACGGAGATGGAAACGGAAACTAAGAACTGAACTGCAGCGTCATGAAAGCCATACAGAACTAAGAACAGTGACGCTGTCAAGTTTGCCAAAGCCGTGATGTCAAGATAAATAGACGCAACGAGCAGGCTCCAACCAACGGTTGTGTGTGGAAAGTAAATGGTTGATGCGTGACACAAAACTTTAAGCCAACTTTATGCTAATTAGCAGCTGCTAACGAGTCTGATGCGAATAACTATCGCCGGGCGAGGCCAGTATTCTAATGCCACGCACCGAAGAGAGGACCGAAGGACCTCTTGTCCTGCACACAGTCTTTTATTGCGAAATTGCTTGCATAGCCAAGCTGCAAAAGTGTGGGCTCTGCGACACATTTGGGGAAGACTTACGTATGCCATTCCACACCCGCAAACACACATACACACACAGTGGCAGCCATTTTTTTCAGTCATCTTTTTTTCCCCGTTTCTGCCAACTTTTGTGCAGTCTCATTCGCAGCGTTGGTGTCGACTGCATTTCGCGTTTCGTATTTGGAGGTGGCACAGCTGTTTGTTGGCTTAGCAACAAGAGCGCATTGTTGACATCTGAATTTTATAATATATATTAATATATATGGTATATATATATATATATTGTGCTTTATATAGCTTTTTGGCTTGCTTTATGCGAAATTGCATTGAAATGCCCGAATAAAACGACTATAAATATGGCCATTGTGCAGCTAGCTCGACTCGGCTGCGATGCTTGCAGCATCCCTGCCGAACAATGTGCGCTCATAAATTACCTAAATTGAAAACCATTCTGTTGGCACCCTTCATTTTGGTAAAGTTTTCTCTGCACACTTGCCAACATAGATTCCGCCACTAAAAAAAAAACCGTCGACACGCGCCACACTTTTATATTCATTACGATTCATACAGAACGCCAGTTCTATAATACACTGCAATCATGCAGTTCTATAAAAGGGTTGGTTGACTATGACAACAAATAACCACGATATATAAATGGAATTATCTATGTGAAATTGGAACATAAACTAACTAACAATGATTCCAAAATGTACTTAATTTTGAAAGAAACAATGCATAAAAATAATAATTATAATTATAATAACAATAATAATATATTTAATTCAAAATATTTGACTTTAAATTCATATTTCGCTTGTTTTATGCTCAATTTAATCAGGTTTTAATAAATGCTTAATAAACGTGCGTATTTATTTTTTTTTATATTTTTTCCCTGCTTTCCCTTAGGCACACAATTTTAGTTGACGCCTCAGCATAAAACAGGTTTTGAATCGAAAAGTTCGCAAAATGAAAATAATATTCGGGTTTTGCGACGGCTGGGTGCATTTTATGCAACTACGTTTATCTTGTATGCATATTTTCAAATTCAAATAAAATAAATTAAATAATAAGACAGGCAATTTGAGTGTGTTTCGAAAGTCACTGAAAGTTTGCCTTTGTTCATTGTTATCCCCAGTTTTTTTCGCAGCGCTTTTCGTTCGCTGCGCGCATAAATATGCAACAGGAACTTTTCTCACGTTTTTGATTGCATTTTTTGTGTTGCGTCATAAATATTTAATGTGTACTTTAACCGGCAACAACAACAGCGGCAACAGCAGTGGCAGTGGCAGCTTAAGTGACAGCAATGACTGTGGCAGACTCTTTAGCTGTAGATCTTTGATAATTTATTTATATAATATTTTTCGAGAGTCACCTTCATTGCATTTCGATTAAAGTGTAAACAAAAATGACAAAGCAACAGCTTGTCTCATTAAATTGATGTCCTGAATTAAGCCAGATCTATGCTCGAATCGATTCAATTTAACATCTAGCAGGCTGTGGTAATGTTTAACTCTATACAGCAATTGAGAACAACCCGCAGGACTGTGGGAAGTGGGTCTGATATAGGAATTGAAGGCATCAGTAGTACGTTGATTGCACTCTGGTTGTACGTTGACCAAAACAACCACTGGATGCACTTAATTAACTTAATTAAAAATCGTTGTGTCTGGCAGCAGCTTGGCGGCAAATACTCAAATACTCACCAGCAGCATCATCGTCATTATAATGCCGTGTGTCGCGGTTGAGATGAGTTGAGGCACCGCAAAGCGAGTCACTTCCAGCTGAGCTCATATACGAGTGAGTACTATCTGCGTAATAAGCGAATCCTGGCAGTAGTTGGAAGTGCTGTTGCCACCATTCATAACGCTCATGTTGCATACGAAGCGTCTCATACGAAGCGTAAACTCAATTAAAAACAGTCGAGCAGTTGGCGACGCACACCGCACTGCATCACATTCGCAGTCTCACCCACAATCGCACCACACGCTCACAGTCACAGACGCAGACTCCTGATGACAGAGCTTGACTATCCTTATCGCGCCTCGGTCTGGGTCCGTTACACATCCTTGCTGCTGCATATAAAATGCTTTTGTGTACTTTATTTTCTATTCCATTTTCTAACTTAATACCAGCAAATTTGTTATTTTTTTACCAGCGGCTTTTCCATTTGCTGCGGTTTGGAGAGAGTCCATTAAGATTATATTTTATGCATTTCTTGTGTGCCACTTTAAACCTTGTATTTTAATGGCGTTTTCCCCTAATTAACTGTATAAATACTTTATATTTAATTGAAATTATATTCCCAGCAAGACTACTAAGTATTCAATACCTACGTCCTTTATTTCTGACTAAAAAATGTTGCTAAAAGAACGATAGCCATTCATTATTATATTTTTACTATAAAATCAAGATGTGGGCTACTTGAAGCCTTTCTACAGGGTAGGGTATAGTCTAATTAATAATTTAATATTCAATTACATTAATAATAATAAAATTACTTCATGTTCTAATATTAAATGCCATCCTGAACAGATGTTGGCTATTGTCAGTGTGACTTCAGGGTAGCCCATAGTCGGGCACTCTGTAAAGTTAATTAGGTATATAAATTGTTGGCTTAGTAGAAGCACATGTAAATCGTCGATTGGTTAACTATGTTGTTGGCAGTAAATGGAACTTGGAGGGAGTCGGGGCAATCAACTGCTGCAATGTTACCCCCTTCGTCCTTCACGTCAAGCAACAATTATCGGTTAGATGTTGAAAAGCCAGTGTAAATTGAGAGATTGTTTATTGGCGCGTTTGTAATGCGACCGAATGGAACATGTTGATGTTGCTGCTGACAGTTGTTGTTGCTATTGTTGTTGGTGCAGTTGATGACAGTGCGTCAAGAATTTTTGTTCTGAGTGCAGCGTGCCATGAGATTGTCAATCATCCCAAAGCAGTCCTCGCAGCAGCAGCACCTCCTTTTGCAAAGGGTTGCCTGCTTCTATGCATATATCCTATGCCTACATAGTCTCAAATGCAGCTAAGCGTGACGTTGACGAAGCGCATGCAACAGCTCAACTTGTTAGACGACATCGAATAGAAAGGTGGCTCGTTTGGAATGCGAGGGGAAGGCTGTGCGGCACTGTGGCTGATGACATGGCGGTTTGGCGTTGTTGCAGTTGCTGTTGTTCCTGGCAAATTTGTTGCTGACAATTTCGTGTTAGCGTTGCTCATGTTGTGGTTGCACATGCAGAGTGCATGTGCATCTATATGTGTGTGTGTGTTCTAGTCGATAAATTTTCAATTTTGCAACTTACACAACTTATGCCCCATGTGCATGTGTGTGTCTTGTCCTTAACGTTTCCGCACTTTAGCCGCACTTCAGCACAGCACACCATGGCGTATGATTGATGCCGTCAGCAGAGTCTCTGCCCGTCTGCACACACACACCCTGACAGCAGACAACTTATTATGTTGATTTAACAAATACAGAATCCTCGCTGGTTTACATACAGACAAGTGTGGCGTGTGAAAGAGATGGAGGAAGATAAACTGAGTTTCAGCTAAAAAGTGAATGCGAGGCTTTACGCTAAATTATACTCTTAACAAGCACGTGTGTTTATCATTAACGGAGTGTGTGTTTAAGTGTGCTGTGGGGTTTTCTGCTTTAATTATATTATTTACTCTTTTATTTCAGCTGTCTCAACATTGAAAAGCCGTACAGGATAAGCAAGGCAAGGCCAAATAACAGGTGGGTTAAAGTTGTTCAAGATTTCAATTAAAGTATGTAAAGAAAAGGCATGCAGCGAATCAGCCTTAATTGTATCAAACTCGAGATTCATTTCAGAGTTAAGCCAAGTGTTTATTTTTTAATTTTTGGGCCATATAAGCTTTGAAAATTTCATTTAAGAGTTATATCAAAACTGATGAAGTGTTTACAGCTTATTTGAACTGCAACAAGAGCCAAACAATTCAATTAGCACTGCGAATTTTACTTGGCAGCCACATAAAATGTTTTATGACTCACTCTTTGGCCTGCATTTCACTGGCGACATTCATTGCCTCCCTTTGCCTTCCTCCCACTCTCTTGAAATTCCCCAAAGTTTATTGAGGCAAAAATTGTTGGCATCAAAATAGAGAATGCACTATCTGTGCAGCAGCAGCAGCTTCAGAAGATATTGCATTATATACAATATATAGTATACGAAAAGTTGAAGCAGCCAAGTTTTGAGTGAAGTTCGTGAGAAGGATCTCTCAGGGAAACAAAAAGAACAAGAGGAATGTGATAGCTTTTTTCAGGAATGGCTTTGGCTTAGGAAAATCCACGCATATATATCTAACCCATTCCGATAGGAAATAATAGCTAATCATCATTTTGTTGTAAAAGGCATTAACTTAATTGTTAGAAAAATGTCTGCATTTTCAGACTTTTATCTTGAATGATGTCACAGTGCGCCAAGCAAATATCTAAAATTAAAATGAATATCTCTGAAGGCCGTATACTTTATATATATCATGAATGGTATCTTGCAGTCTTGACTTTTGAAAAGCTCATATTTATGCCTTCGGACCTTGGCCAAGAAACAAACATAAATTCTCTATAAAAAGGACAAGTGAAAAGGAATAAAAAAATCATCATCGTAGTCGCGTTTTTTCTTTAGGCTTTTCCATAAGTCGCCGCCATAAATAATCACATAAAACAACATCATACAAAACATGTTGGCATTGAATGCCACTCCTGTTCCTGCTGCTGCTTATATTCCTGCTTTACTAACAAAGGGAAACCCAAATGAGTATACATAAATACCTTTTTTTTGTGGAACAGGAAGCTTCCAAGCTGTACCCGCAATTTATGTAAAATTTAATGCTTTATAACGACATACGCACACAAACAGACACACACACATACTTTGAATACATATGCAAATCATATCACTCATATACGCCTACACGATGCGACTCAACTCGACGGTATGCAAAGCATTATCAAACATGAAACATGAAACACCAATGAAAATGTCAGGCAAGAAACAAACACAGCAACAAAGATAACAGTAAAGATAAGCAATTTCCCCGTTTCCAAATGTTTTCACCGTTAGGCGCCATCTCTACACATGTTTTGTGCACAAATTTTATTATGCACACAAAACTCACACACACATGCAAGCACAGGCGCACGGCCCACGCACACAGGCAAACACACACAAAATGCTCGCATATGTCACTGTGCAGGCATTTTATGCCGGAATTTGTTTAACACTGTATTACAAGAGTGCGTAACAAAATGGTACATTTCATTTCTAAGTCTGCCAAATTTTTCTATTTTATTTATACAAGTGAGGTTCATGTTCAGATCGATTAGCATAAGAGAGTATATAGGTACAGACGCTAAAAAACAAAATTTTAAATTCTAAATAAAATCATAATTGATGTCAGGTTTGTCTGGGAAGAATATGTGCATATTTAAATAAATGAACCAAATTTGTTTGCTTAAAGTATAATACAAATTAAAATAATAATTATAGTCATATATTGAAAATTTATATTTTAAACGGTAGAATGTGAGCCTTTTCAAGTAAGGGAGAGGTAAAGCAACTTACTTACGTACTTAGTTTGATATTCGTCTTGTCCATATAAATAAATACATTTTTTAGAAGTAAAAATAGTTTTTGAGTGACTTCTAACATTCTACTCTCATTTTTTGACTTTTTTGGTAAAGATTTTAATTATATTCCTTAGCGCTTTTAATGTAGCTCTAAACTTCGATTTAAATCCTAAGATTTCTGCCTTCTCCTGTACTGACAACTTGCTCTAATAAAAATTACTTAATTACTGACAAAATTAACTCGTTTCATAGTGGCTTGTTGCCTGGTGTAAGTGCGTTGGCATTAATATATGATTCAGAATAAACGCATTCATTATTTACAGGCAAGCAAAATAAGAAAACAAAATAAACCAGCAGCTGCTTGACACATAAACATCAAGTGCGCAACACGGCCTACACCAAAAAAAAAAAAATAAATAAATAAAAAAAAAAAGATATATAGATATATATAAAATTGGAGAAAAAAATATTTGACGTCTGTTCATCCAGAGACGCGTCGTGTGGCAACCCCCAATGAAGAGGGCGCCAACGTCGACAGCGGCAATTTAAAATTGCTGGCTTTTTAACTCGCATCCATTTACAGCAATTTTGCGTGTTACCCCCATGCCCCAATCGGGGGCCCTTTGACGTGTCAGATTGAAATTACATCAGGCACTTGGCGAATAGCAAATTGGCAGGAATGCTGGCAAGGATAACGCATTACATAAATAAGCAACAAGCCAAGAAAAAATGAAAAAAATATTGCAGACATGTTAAAGAAATCAAATTTAATGACTCAATAATTGAAATGCGCGCACGAGCATACAAAATTTGCCTTCAATCAGGCACGTTGCGTATACGCCGCGTTAACACAGCCATAGATTTCTGAGATTTCTAGCCGTAGCAGTCTATTAGGAGTGACCGTGTTGGCCACTCTAATTGACCAGTCGGCACTCTAGGTTCCCACAAAACTTGGCAACTTGAAGCGTCCTTTAGTCGCTGTGTGCTCTTATCTATTGTCGCCGCCGCGGCATGTTCGCCCACTTATTTCATGCATTTTGCACTGCAGCCACAAATCCGCGCGGACTTAAAAAGCTTTTTTCAACAAAAAGTAGTTTAATGCACATGGGTGATGCTGATGGAGGGGGGCTTATCTCAGCATTCTTTAGCAGCCACGATGCCGGGGCTTCCGAAGGGTGCTGCAGGCCGCAGCAGACCATGAAGCCACATAAACCCACTGAGGCAAACCAATCCAAAGTAACTGCAACGCATTCTCCTTCGTCTTTCAAGAAAACTTTCTGTGTGTTTTTTTTTTGTTGCAGCTGCTGCATTTTTTAAACGAACACGTTGTTGTTTTTGTTGAAACAATTGTTTGGCATATCGGCGAAAAATTAAGTTTACGCTCGTTGATTTTAAATGCATCTGATGGGCGGACAGCCTTAGATACGCTCAGCTTATTTAAGCAGCACAAAGCAAATTTCCAAGAAATTACCAGCATCAGCAGACACAGTAAAAAAGGATATTCCCATAAAGACAATTGTAGCAATTGACGGGGATTATAGCAGAGAATGGCAAGAATGGTATTTACTCAGAAGTGAACAATTGGGAGAAAAGCTGAATAAAAGTCGTGAATATTGAAACAATAGGGTTTGGAGAGTTCGCTTTGCATATAAAACACATTATTTAGGAATAAACTAGGTCTCACTTACATAAGTTAGATCCTTATTCTCAGCTTACAAATATTCGGGAAACCAAAATGTTCTGGCAAAAATGTTTTTTAAATTTACTAAATGTTGTTTTAATCAGTTTGGAATAGGAAAAACAAATTTTATGTGCTGTTTTTTTTATGTTACAATACAAAATATGGCATGTTCATAAATTGAAGTTAACAAAAATTGTATTTTATTTAATTTTAAGGCAAACTTGAGATAAGTTATTTGCTAATCAAGAAAATGTTTTATTTCTATATTTTATCAAAATTTATTTTCGACTTGAGCTTTTGGGGTTAAAACAAAAATATCTCAAATATTACTTATAAGTAATAAGTAACAAGTTGCAAAAGGCTTAAACAGTAAATTCAAAAGTTTTCGGCCATGTTCTTCCTTGAGCACTGTGTGTGTTGCTTAATTAAAGTTTAAGCCCACTTTTTGCACTTAGCTGCAACAAATTGTTAACAAACCAATAACAGAACTCCTACATTTCCTTCTATCTTTTGCCTGCCAAACAGCCGCAACTGCAAATCGTGGACTAAAACTATACTTATTTAGCAACATTTATCCCTCCGACCCAGCACCATTTCCACCTCACAGTAGTCTACTGCGTGTTTCCCAGCAGTTTCCCGAAAACCCTGCAGACAGACAAACACAGAAAAGTTTCGAAGCGACTGCGGCTGGCCCCAAGACGGCGCCACATCGTTGGTTGGCTTTAGTGCAAAACCAAGGAAACTGCTAAATATTTGAAAAGTTCTGCAGAGCTGAACTGAGGTTCCTGCAAAAATGTCAACTAGTGTAAAACTTGCGGTAAATTGCTCAGGGCGTGGTCGCAAAGCCAAATATTGCCAGGTACATGTAAAAGCGACAGCCAAATAAGTACACGCTTAAAACAAAAAATTGCTCATACGCCACGTTGTCAGCACACAAACGCTGTAGCTAAATTATTCATGAGCAGCTGGTGGCTTAGAAGCTTTTTAATATGAATAGCGGAATATCCGGGGAGGGTATAAAGATGATATAATCGTTGGCAACAATAATTGGGTGCATGCCTGGCTTTTCGGCAAACTGAGAGACGTATAATTAAATTCAATTATTTATGTCCCTGTCAGAGCCGGCGCTGATACCAAAATGCGAATCAACATTTGGGACATCAGGATTTACGAGCTGTCCACAAATGCTTAAAGCGGCTTACAGTTTGTTTGTTTGTTGACCAAATAATTGCGCCATTTTCTGGCCTGCCAACTGACTGTCACTTGTCTGTCCCCAGCAACCTCTGCCTAGCTGCCCAGCTGCCCATTTGCCAGTTGATTAGCATAATCAACCAGCAAAATTAGTCGAGCGCATTCACATACTCGTATGCAAAACAGTTATATACACACACACTCACACATATTCAAACGTATATCTAGCTGAAAATTCAGCTCTTCATATAAATTACAAACTCAATTTGCAGCACATGCCTCATCAGTCATATGCAAAGCAAATTGCTGAAATAATCTCAAATATGAAAAACTCATCAAAAAATAATAATAATAAACAGCACAAAATAATTGCACGTAAAGCCCAAATAAGCAAATAGATATATTTGTGTACATTTTATTATCATATCAAAACACACACGAACCGTTTTCAATTTGTGCCAATTTTCCTGCAAAGCTTTTTAGTCGTTGCCCACAAATAAATTGAAAAGAAAAAGAAGAAAACAACATGTGTATACACTATGCGAATCGGTTGTGCTTGTTTTTAGTACAAAATAAATATTTGAATTCACAATCTGATTTAAAGGACTCAAATTAAAAATAAATCCAAGAGACTAGTCAAAATAATGTAATTAAACCGATATGAAACTCATAAAAGTGGCACCAAATTTATATTTTTAATTCTTCTCTGCCGATGGCTTTTATATTTCTTTCAACTACAAAAATGTTTAATTATATTTAATTTTTCTAGCTTAAAGGTCTGGCAAATAATAATATAATAAAGCGTGTGCGCTCTTTGTAGTTATTCTTAGTTAGGGTGAATTCTGCATATTCATTTAAACAAATATTTGTACGTTTTAATTACAATTTTCGCTGGGCGCTTTTCCGCTTAATTTTCCCCGTATTTAAACTCAAATCGGCTGCTATTTGATTTGTGAATATTTTTGCGCAACTTATGGCACGTTTAATTTCAATTGGAAGCGCTTCAAACTAATGTCTATTTAAAATTCCTGCCATGCCTGAAAGGACATGCTCAGGTGAGTTGAGAGCCGACGAGATGTGGCAGTGCGGAGCAGCTGAGGCTGTGACAATGTCTGGCCGTCTAGACGTGCTTCTGAGCGTCGTCATGTGGCCCGATTGCCATTTTTTGGCCGACTTCAATAAATTTCGAGAGACACGTGAGGCCAAATGCGGTTGCCACAATTGTTGCCAGCGCTCGCCACATTTTGTACAAAATGTAATGGAATTCAATTAAGAGCGAAATGTATAAATTTTATTTTGGCTCGCGGTTTTCGTTTCGGCCGTTGACCACAAAAACAACCAGGGCAAAAAAAAAAAAAAGAAATGCCAAACGGAACCTGCAAGCCAACAACAAGAACAACAACAAGGCTGCCATTTTGGCTGGCTATTGTTTATTTGTTACGCACATTCAAGTGCTGCGAATGGAAGGCGTGGGCGTGTCTGTAAGCCATTGGAACGGGCAACGCAAACAATTTAATAATGGGAAGAAGTATGAAAATTAATACAAAAGGACGTAAACGGCAAGTGCGGCCGCCTTCTGCTTCACTCGCTTTATATGGGTTACATCAGGAGTGTGGAATGATGTTCAGCATGCTGATGAAGCAGATGATGATGATAATCATTATGTTGATGCAGAGAAAAACACAACTACGCTTAGCCTGCGGGTTAGGGAAACTCATGCGGCTCTTAAGTTTTTTTATTTTCTTAAAATTTCTGCAAAATTGTAACAACTGCGACCTGACATGTGCGCAGAGGTGAGGTGTATGGAGAACTTGTGTGAGACAAAGAAAACTTTGAAAGCCTTTAAAGCTTACACAAATATATTCTTAAAGATTTGTTTCATAAATACAAAAATATATTTAACAAAATATCAACTTAATCGAGATTACTTTTTAGTGATTGATTATTAAAATAATAAAATTTTTGCAAACGTTATTTATTTGTATAATTTGAATATATTTATTAAGTTTAATTTACAGCTTTATAGATAAATATTATTCAATTTTTACGTAATTAGGAAGAATGATTTTAAAAAGAAGTTGAATGAAAAGTATTATAATTATGATATTAAATTGTACTATGTATATTGATAAAATTCCTATATAAAACTTATGTACAAATATTGTGTATTTCTATTTGAAGTATGCAATTAAATTATCTTAAATCATTTAACACGGCTAAGACTTACTTAATCAAGTTTTGTAATCTCCGTTGTTGGTTCTTTACTTACAGCAACGCACAATCAGATCACAGCAAGGCGGTTTCAAGAAACATCCCAACGGATTCAACAGACATCTAACTACCTATATGTATTGTCCTATGTAGCTATCAAAATACGCAGAAAAAATACTTATTAAACTTATAGTAGAGCAGCACTAACGACCAGCAGAAGCTGTGAGCACAAAATATTTATTAAGCTGACCGCAAATAGCGCTTTATTAAGCATACGCTACGTTAGCCAGCAGCCGGGACAGAGAAGCGGACGGGCAAGCGCACATCAAATTAGTAATCAAGCATCACAAAAGCAACGCCGAGGGGCACGCTGTATACGGTTCACGGCGTAAGCCTAAGCTCACCCGTGGTCTGCTGCCTGGCAGCTCAATGCGGAGCATACGAAACTAATAAGACGACGACTTTATTTTTATTGAAATTATGATTAATGACAGGAATATTGCAAGACGGCGAAGAGGAATCAGCGCGAATTAAGGGCGAAAGCCCATGACTATGATGATGCTGACAATGATGGTCATCAAGTTAATGATAATGCTGCGGCCAGGGCGCGATTTCTGACGCGTATGTCAACCCATGTACAACACAGCCATGGAGCAGTCATCGCAGTTAACGATGAACTTAATCAAAGACAGTTTAGTGGGTGTCAATGCTGTTGCCGTTGTTGATTGCCAGCGTGTGAACAACTACAACTACAACAACAACAACAGAAATTAAACAAAACTATTGCTCATACGACGCGTTGTACAACGGAATAACTAATTTAAAAGCAAGCGAAAGTGAAAGCTCGAAAGAAAGTATTTCGATTTTATTTTTGAAAATTTGATGGCTTCGCCTGGGCAGCATTGCGCCGCAGCAGCTGCAGCCCGTAGAAGACGCCATCAGCAACCACAGCAAAGCCACAATATCAGCAACAACAGCAACAAACTGATATCCATAGCCACATTGACGCTGCTGATACTCTGCCTGAGCAGCTGCATCGCCTACGCAACCGCAGCAGCGGCAACAACCACGGAACAGCCAGCGACTCGGAGTAGCAGCAGCGGCAGCAGCACGGACATCGGTAACCTGGGCGAAGATTTCAACAGCAGCAGCGCCTTTTTGGGCGCTATTGCAGCTGCTGCTGCCGGCTCGGTGAACAGCAGCCCCATTGCCATTGTCAGCTATCAGGGAATCACGAGTAGCACACCAAATGGCAGCAGCAGCACTCTGGTGTCCATGTCTGACACGCCGCTGCTGCTAGATGATCTGGCCGCGGGTGAGGAGTTTGAGCTGCCGCCGCTGCAGTCGGTCATTGTGAGCATTGTCCTACTAATTGTTATACTGGGCACCGTGGTGGGCAATGTACTCGTCTGCATTGCCGTTTGCATGGTGCGCAAGCTGCGACGACCCTGCAATTATCTGCTCGTATCATTGGCGTTATCCGATCTCTGTGTGGCTCTGCTCGTCATGCCCATGGCCCTGCTCTATGAGGTGCTGGAGCGCTGGAGCTTTGGCACGCTGCTTTGCGACATTTGGGTATCGTTCGATGTGCTCTGCTGCACCGCCTCCATACTGAATCTGTGCGCTATCTCCGTGGATCGTTATCTGGCGATTACCAAGCCCCTCGAGTATGGTGTAAAGCGGACGCCACGTCGCATGATGCTCTGTGTGGGCATAGTTTGGCTGGCGGCCGCCTGCATCTCGTTGCCCCCATTGCTGATACTAGGAAACGAGCACGAGGATGAGGATGGCCAGCCCATATGCACGGTGTGCCAGAACTTTGCATATCAGATCTATGCCACGCTGGGCTCCTTCTACATACCCCTCTCCGTCATGCTCTTTGTGTACTATCAGATCTTCAGAGCCGCACGACGCATTGTGTTGGAAGAGAAGCGCGCCCAGACGCATCTGCAGCAGGCAATGAATGGCACCGGCTCACCGCAGACGGCCACAGCACCCGTATTGGGCCACACGGAGCTGGGCAGTGGCAATGGCACTGGTCATGGACACCGGCACAGCAGCGTGGGCAACACCTCGCTCACCTACTCCACCTGCGGCGGTTTGAGTACCAGTGGCGGCGGCGGCGGTGGGGGCGGCGGCATTGTGGGCATTCCTCATGGCCATCATGGTAGCGGCGGCGGCGTGAGCGGCTCCACTGGTCTGCTAGGGTCACCGCATCATAAGAAACTGCGCTTTCAGCTGGCCAAGGAGAAGAAAGCGTCCACGACATTGGGCATTATAATGTCCGCTTTTACAATCTGCTGGCTGCCATTCTTCATACTGGCGCTGATCCGACCGTTTGAGACGATGCATGTGCCAGCGTCGCTGTCCTCGCTCTTTCTCTGGCTGGGATATGCCAACTCGCTCCTGAATCCGATTATCTACGCTACTTTGAATCGTGATTTTCGCAAGCCCTTCCAGGAGATACTCTACTTCCGGTGCTCCAGCCTGAACACGATGATGCGAGAGAATTACTATCAAGATCAGTATGGTGAGCCGCCCTCACAGCGGGTCATGCTAGGCGATGAGCGGCATGGAGCGCGCGAGAGCTTCCTGTGAAGTCAATGGATCCCTGTATGCTTGGCTCCTTAAATTTATATATATGTTTATGCATATGTGTTGTTCTCTATACGGATAGGCCAAAACTAACTAGTGTCTACTGCTTGGCTCCCCCTTCCACACAAATACACACACACACAAACACACACACACACACACACAGACACACACACACACACACACAGAAACACACCCATTCATATATACTATGTATGAGTGTAACTGTTTACCTATGAGTATTTTTTGTATGTAGTAGTGTTGCATAACGCAAACCCCTAAGTACGATATATGATACACGATAGATGATAAATGCTGTAGATGACTCCTCTAAATGTAACTGATCGTTGTAATTTTTAAATGTAACGCTAAGCAATTAAGTGGGCTGAAAGCAACAACCACACACCACATACACCCACCCAACCACTCACAACCAAAGCAACAATTGCACGCGCACACATAACAGAGCTGTAAATCTATCGATGTTAGCGGTATCTGCTTCTAGAGTTCTCACACTGAAAAACAAAATTATAAATCATAAAAGTATTTGATAATGTCTTGGGCATTGCTTGATAAGCCTATCGATTATAATCGAAGCCATCGATAGTTTTGCAGCGGAAAGACACATAAACACTCACATAACAAGACGGTTGTACCACTGTTAACCCAGAACAGGTTTTCACACGGTTCCTTTTTATGTTGTTATTTCCAAACTGAAAAGACGATTACAATCAAAATCGATATCGAATCTATTGAGCCCACAGCGAGCGTAGTTTATTTGCGATACTCAAAACTGAGCCAAAAATTAAATTATATTAAACACACTTAAGATATTGTATCAGCTATTTAATATTAAACATTCAACACGAGTTATATAACAATATATTCCAATCGTCAATATACCATATCGTCAAGCATGACAAAATGTGGTCTATTAACTGTCGAACTGTAAATAGGAAAGCGCTGTACCAAAGAGTAAAAAATATACATGTATATGTATTTGCATATATGTGTGCTACTCCCAACTGTCTCATAACGTATATTTGTTATGCTCGTATAGCTAAAGCTCAATACTAAATCATATATAAGTGTATGTATTTATTAAATACTTTCTGCATTAATTTTTTATGGTATTAATTTTGTTTGTTTTTTTTTTTTTGTGTATTTGTATAAAAGTCACGCCTCTCTGTGATACCAACATTAAGCATTAACTTTTATGTTTAGATCAACTGCATTATAATATTAAATACTTATAATACTAACTAATAACTGCTAGTTTATACGAGTACGACCTACACTTATAGATACTATATGCTATATATATATATATATATATATATATATATATACAAATATCTAGTCTGGTTAAGTCTTTTCGGTGTGCGTGTTTTTATTGTACGTATGTCTACGTTAAGCATATGATATTCCAACAAAAATTGATTTACATATGTGTAATGTATGTGTAATTTAATGTTGATGCAATGGAGGATTAGAAAAATACAAAATTATCAAAAAAACAACACAAACACACACACACACACACACACATCCTAAATACAATGAAAAGAGCATAAGAAACTAAGCGCATCTAATGCTATGCAACATAGAACTAAAGTTCAGTAAACAATTGAGAAAAAAAGTTTAAAAATAAATAATAAAACTATATGAAACTCTTTCGAGTAAAGCTTACAAAACTGTTACACTGCATTTGAATTTTGTTTTCCACAGCTGCAACTGCAAAATATACACAAAATAAAAAGCAAAATAAATACATAAAAAGTGAGAAAAATTAAATCATCAAATTAAAGGCAACCACATAAATGTAATTCCAACAGATTTTGTTATTTATTTATTTTGGCTTGTGCAACAAATTGGATGCATATAATTTATAACTTTTCTAAACTTTTCCAACTTGCATGCAAATTATGCATTAGCGGGAAATTTATGTAGTTGTATTACAAGCTAACAGAATATTCCGGAGAATATTCAAAGTTAGTTCGACGAACCAATTAACCCTAATTTAGTAAACTTTGCTGGTATTTAGCAACTTATCTACCTATCCAAAATAGGTGAAGGCTATCAAAAAAGCCGCAAACCAAATAGAAGGAGCTCAAACTTTTTTCATTTTTTTAACAAGAAAATTTTTATGAGTCACGTATGTTATTTTGACTGTGGAAATAATCTCTTATAATACCAAAAACTACAATTTTGCAATTTTTGAGCTGTCAATTCTTACCTGGTTTACGGGCTAAGAAGTGGAACACTAGTTTTCAACTTGAATGCCAAGGTTAACTGACAAATTAATACAATTTTGAGATATTAAATGGAAATTAGAAATTACAGAAAGGCTAGTTTTGCAAAAGCAAAGTTAAGTACGTGTCCAAATTCTTTTATTAAATTAAAATATTATCTATATTGCAAACCAAATCCGAAAGATAAAAAATGTCCACTGTCGAAGATTAAAGGGTATTAAGAAACTGAAGTAAGCAGTCATTATGCAATCTTTGATAGATGAGTTATCTAGGTGGCCCACCGCAAACCAGACTTAAGACCCTGGCTTGTCTAGGGATGTAAGAATATCTTGGCCGACGATTATATTTTTCAGTTCGATTTTAAATTGATTTGCTATAGACCTATGTATATTAGTAATTCGATTTTAATTTAACATAGATTGATCAGATTTCTTAAAAAAAATATATATGTTCTTTAAATAAGCTCTATTTATGGGCTAATACATGCCATATTATTTAAATTATTATTGATGATTTTTGTATGATTTATGAAATATCTTTATGGTTTTGGAAAATTTCCGCCTAGCTGTAAGTTATGTACTACCTACAGCAAATTGAAAAGATTTTTAATTTTTAAGGGAGATCTCAAGACCGATAAAATTATGTAATTTTGTTGTTGTTTTTTCTTTTTAATTATTTTATTCAATATCTTTGACAAACAATGTAGCACATATTAAGCGCTTTCGATTTATTTTATTTATCATTAATTATAATATTTTATATTATTATTTTCCGAAACCCAGACTTAACGGGAACCTTCATCATATAAGGTAACTACAGTGAAAATGTCAATTTTCTAGCTCTTACGGGTTGGGCTGTGCGTTGATCACCAATCAGTCAGTCAGTCAGTCAGTTAGTCGGGACAAACAGTTGTAAATATAGACATTCTTGTATATTTTAGTTATTTTGTAAAGAATCGTCCAGGTGTATTGTCTATAACATGACAGCTGTGGTATACACATATATGCTTTATCAAATAGACAAAGTTTAAGTGTGGACTTTTCTCTTCCTCAACATGAATGTGTATATAAATAATGATATCAGAAAGACATTTTTTCATGCATTCAACATCTTCAGACCAAATTGAAATACCCTTATCTACAGTATGACATTGCACAAGCTGAATGCAACATTTTATGCTAAATGCTAAAAAATGTGGAATGCAGATTACGTACTGCAGCAGCTGCCATGTGTCAGGAACAGTGCTGCAAAATGTCAACTAAATGCACAGCTTAGCGGGCTGGAAGGTCTAACAAAAAATGGGAAATATATATATATATGTATATATACCATATACATCTATATATTTATGCAGTGCTTATTTGTTAGTCAGGCTGACAAGTTGAGCAAACGTGTGAAATGCGCGGAAACGGAAGTAAAACCAAGCAAAACATGGTGAAAAATATCAAACAGAAAATGACAAAAAGCATGAAAACAACAACAAACGGCAGCTGGGAGGGTCATGCAAATACATGTACCTACGTTTTTGTGTGTATTAAAGACTGTGTCCGTGCAAAATTTGAGACATAGTTTTAGTTAGATAAAAACCAAAGCAGCAGCAGAAGGACCTACAACTTGGCTGGCCATCGAGTGAATGCGTGCGAATGTGTGTGTGCTTGTGTGTGTTAGGGGCGTGCATTACGCCGTAGGTGGAGCCGCACTCTAAAAGGGTATGACAATGACAAAGTGATCTTCCGGCGCCAACGACTAGCTGCCGACTGTTGTTGCTGCTGGTTGCTGATAAATGATGATTTTACGCCCGCTCGCTGCCCAGCCCCAGCCGTGTTACAATGCCACTTTATGAGCTATGCCGGCTGCCAGACCGAATGGCGGCGATGCCAAGGACAAGCAGCGCGGCGCATCGCAACCCGCACCAGCATCAGCCTCATCATTCCATGGCGTATGTGTGTTATTTTTGCTCTGTTCCCCGTTTTTGGCCAACTTCACCCTGCAGCTAAGCGGATTTTATATTCAAATAGCAGTGCGCGGGGCTATTCACAAAAAAAAAGAAAAAGCGATGAAAAAAATGAGCTGACGATTGCAGCGAAATTACCGTTGCTGCTGTTTCTATCGTATCGTATCGTAAGCAGTAAAGTCTGCAGTTTTATGAGCACTTGAGAGATTTTTTTTTATTATTGCGCTTCTTTTTTTTTTGACACTAATGCGACGTTTATGAAACATTCGCAGCAGCGATTCATTGTCAAATGATTGCAAAAAGAACGAGAGGAAGAGGGAGAAAGCGAGTGAGAGAAATGAAAAACAGTTTGGCAATTTGGAAAAATACGCTTATGAAAATGTCTGCAATTGTCAGCGTTCCCCAAGGCGGACACAAAGTGCTAACAACTATTGAACCATAAATCAGTAGAAACGTTCAGAAATGTTTGGAATATAAAAAATACACACACTCACACACAAGCTACGGGTGTAGGCAAACTGCCAGAGCACTCAAGCAAAATAATAAAAAAATAAGAAAAAGAATACAAGAGACACATAAGAATGAAGCAGTCAATATAGGTCGATAAAGATATACCCTGGCTTAAAAGTAGGATTTTTCTTTAGTCACTCATTTAAATGGTGAAGTTTTTAGAAGATATTTCCATAGGAAATTAAGCAATTTTCTTACAAATGCGTAATTAGTTTAATTTATTGTTTTATTAAGCGCAGCTTAGCTCAACCTTTTAAGTTCATGTTTAAGCAATATTATATAAAATTAACTTATGCTAGCTCAGACAGTAGATGAGCTCATGCAGCCTAATGTGGGCACCAGCCTAATAGTTAATAGACACTGAAACACTTCCTTCTACCCACTAACGCTTTTTATGGACTTAGGGTATATAAGGTCACGTAACAAACGCCCAATTGAGCTAAATGTTGGACAGTTTCATTCAAGTTGTAGTCTTTTCGAAGGTCATGTGTGCCAAATTGGTTAGCAACAGAACAGGGGGGTCATGAAAGTGACTGATAATATATTCGATAATCGATAGTGTGCTGCAACTGCCAACTGTGTTAAATTATTTCGAACAAATTGGCAGCGCTTTGAAGTAAAATGACCTAAAACGAGATGAGCTCGAATTTCAGCATTAAAGCTGGCACCACTTCCGCCCTCCACCCAATCCCACAATTCCCACAATATATATTTGGGGTCAAAGCTCTCACGTTTCATCTTAAATTCAATAAATATGAGAACAGCAATTTACTTAGGTCAACTGCCATTTGGTAATATAGATATAAGTATAAATATATATATATATATATATATATATATATATATATATATTATAACTCAGTGAAGAAAATAGGTATTATCTTTATGGGTATGAAATTTAATCAATTATTATTTTTATTTTTCAGGACATTTGATAGGTTATTACAGTAAGCCTGCTGTAATTGGTAGTTTATCTTAAATAAAAAGGATCTGTACCATATTATACTGTAGCTATTGCAAAGCTCATTTTGAATCTTATTTTATTCAACTTAAGTAAAACATTAAATTATTGCTATACTCTACAATTATTCCCCCGTTTTGTCGGCTGCTCTTTAATATACTACAGTATTTGTAGCTAAGAGCTGTTCATAATTACAAGCTCTAGTCCAATTAGTCGAGCTGGGTAGACTTTAATATTAGTAACAGAAACATGCTAGCACACAAATACACTCACATACACACGCACACGCACATTAAAATATATTCAAAAACAAATTATGTAAAATATTTGAAGTGCCGAAAACTTTATTTCAACAGCGTCTGAAATCTGTGGTAGCTACCTGCCACAACCCGCTCGCCGCGCGCCTGTCAAAATATTTCATTTAATGCGCTGTCAACCCACGGGGCTTGCGTCACCCCAAAGTGAAGAGGAATAAAAAAAAAAACAGTGAAATATCTGAGAATTTGTACCAAATTAAGTTGATTAAATGGACTTAGCAGCGCGATTACACGCAAGCCTGCATGAGAGCAGCCTAAAGAAGCGAAGCGCTGGGTGAGCGGGCTGTGAAACGCTATGCGTGCTGTCTGGGCCTGTGAGTATTCTTTTCATGGACAAAATCCCAACAGCACAACAACAGAGAGACAGGAGAAAAAAGAAGGAAAAATGGAAAGAAAATAACATATTTTTCATTTCATTCCCTTCATATCGCTCTAGCCATTGGCAGGCGGACGGCCAAGTGAGCAACGAGCCGAAACTTTGACCATTGAAATCTCTGTCCCATGGGAGCGCTGGGCCTTAGAGCCATTAAATGGCGCATGATTAACGCTTTGCTCTACAAGACAATTGATAAAGAATAGAACAGCAGCTGCCTGCCCAACGAAGAAGAAGCAGAGGAAGACACTTTAATCCGCCGGCTCAGCCGGGAGTCGAAAACAAAAGTCAATGCAGCTCTCAAAGTGCTTGACTAAAAGACAAACCAACTTTCTAATGAAGCTTGTAACAGATAGCGAGATTAATGTTTGCTCGTAAATCTATATGAACTACAATCTGTTATACCAGAAAAACAAAATTTTTATAGCTACAACTATATCAATATATACATATATATACATATAAAAAGCTGTTTGTACTGACTGCTCGGCTGATTAATGGACAACATGAGTTAGAAAGCTCAATTTTGTACAGTATTAACCCCCTATGACGTAAGTGAACAATATTGGATATTTTAAGGAAAATCAATGTGTAGCTTGGCCCATTTTCGCTCGATCGGCTGCGGTCTTAGCTTCAGAGATCTTTTTGAAAATTTATTGAATACGTGTTTCAAAGTTTTCACAGCAAGCTAGCAGGAATCCAAGAATTCGACTTATTTCTTTAAAAGCTTTAAGAATAAACATTATTGAATAAATGTTGAACTGTTTGAAAGGCATGTCAATGCAACTATGCAAGAACTGGATTGATAGTAATAATTCTGAAAACGTGGAATCATAGGGTATATACAAATATATATAATTCCTAGCCTCTTTGCAGCATGTCCGTTAGTGTAATAAAACTATTTTAAAAATAGTGTTAGGGTGTTTTAAATTCCTCTATATAAAAGCTGCGCCTTCTCTTTCACTTGACAATTAAGCGGTGACGGAAACGGAAACTCTCGAGCAGCCATGGAAAAAGAGCATTTAATGCAGCGTTTACATTGTTTTTGCGCCCGCGTTGTTGCTTTTTCCCGTTGTTCATTTTGTTGGTGGCGGCTTTGGCATTGTTTTTAGCCAGCTCACAAAATATGCTGCGGCTTTCGTTCTGCCTCTCACTCTCTATAGTTTTTTCTTTGTGCTGCTGCAAGCGTGCAGAATGATTAATGTGGCCCGGCACAAAACAGAGGCATTAATGGGCGGTCAGTGGAATGCGCTCCAGTCGGGCAGCTGCCATTCCAGCTACATTTTTTACGTGCTGACTTTGCGCTGGACCGCGAGGACTTCAAAAACTCTAGCAAATTGCGGCACTTAGCGTGTACGCCCTAAAAATGTATGAGATGCCTGCACGTTCAGTGCAACAATCAGCGAAACGGAGACACAAGAATTAATACAAGCAGAGAGAGGGGAGTGGAGAGTGGAGAGAGGAGAGAGTGTACAACACGGCGTATGATTAATCTGTTGTATTACACAATCTAATGGGCAGCTCGTGCCGCACTTGAAGTGAGCTGTCAGTGACGCAGCTCAAGCTGAAGCCGAGGCAACTTGGCCGACTTAATTTAAAGGCTACCAGCTCCAGTTGCTGGCTTAAATCTTTATTAATATGCATGGAGCAATAGCTCGTCCTATTCGTCAGCGAGCACCATGAAAAATGGTGCCATTAGGGCCAGCAAATTTGCTGCCTTGTAGCAGCAGCAGCAGCAACAACGGCAACTGCATTGATTTTGCAGCACGTGGCTGCGGCTGCGGCTGCGTCTGCGAACACAAATTTACCCCAACCACATTCCATTTATGTTAATGATTTGGGCATTGCGAACCGCATTAGAATTTCGTGTTGCCAGCAAATTGAGGCGCACTCCGTGAATGAGCAACCATAAATTGCGCCCTGATTGACACGACTCGATTTGGTTGCCCCGAAATGAGCTTGAATGTTATGATAAATGAATGCGCAAGTCTGAAATTTGCCAGTGAAATTATAAAATTATGCGCAGTTTGCAAGCCGTGTGCTTATTAGGCGTGAAGATATCTATGACCCTATAAGACATATTTATTTTGAATCAGCCTCAATGAGTGTTTAATCTCAGAGTTCTAAAATTCATTAGTTTCTGGAAGTTTATAGTGAGCAGATCAATTTATCATCTATTCAAATATTAATATTATCCCCGTTTTCCAAATTCGTAAGCAACAGACTAAAACCGCATTTTGATTTGATTTTTGATTGATTATACTCTAAATTCAAAATTCCCTTTTTTTGATTGTATTGGCAGACAATAGGAAATCAGAAATATTTATATAAAAAAAAAACTTCCCAACACTGTCACCAGAAAAACGAAATGTTTAAGTAAGTCTGTTGAGCATTTATTAGGCTGGCCTCGGACGTTACCACACAGCATGGATTTGCGTTATAATGTGGGCCGAGTGCAGACCGCATTTACACGCGAATCACGGCACCATCATCAACACAACCACCATCAGGGGCCAGGAAGCCCGGGATCTGGATCAGCAGCAGAAGCAGGACATGCCGAAACGGCGGAAACACGGAACGCCCAAGGATGTGGACATGGGGGACACGGCGGCTCGATGATCTTCCATTGTAGCGACAGGGAGACGATACTTTTCAAGTTCTGGACCACAGATTCCACGACATCGATTGTGCTCTCCTGCCTGGTCGTCTTTATTATGGCCATTCTATACGAGGCGCTGAAATGCTATCGGGAATGGCTGAAAAAGTGCAACAAGAAGCGTCTGGAGGGCGGTGAAAATCGTCCACGCTCAATATTGACACAATTAAGCAGCATACCTTCGACACCCATTTCCGAGGCAGCTTTATCAGTGGCCGAGCAGTTTCCACCTCCTCTGCCGGTCGCAGCGCCAACGGCACCGGAAGCTCCGCGTGCCGGCCCTGCAGCGCCCTGGCTATCACCCATGCATTGGTATCAAACGTTGTTGCATATGATCCAGGTGACCATTTCGTTTCTGCTGATGCTCATCTTTATGACCTTCAACGTCTGGCTCTGCATAGCCGTTGTCCTCGGCGCCGGTGTCGGCTATTATATATTTTTCGCGCGTAGCGAGAATGTTTCCGATCACTGCAATTAAGCTAACACTCTGTTCACCTTTCCCGGGCTCCCCTGTGCCCCTCTTTGTGTTGTCTGTGCATTGTGCTAATGTATTTTTCTAATTAAACCTAGTTATAAAAATATCAGAACAAAAGTGGCTGCCAGCCGCCCAGCCTAATTGTTCATTTTTATGGCTAATAAAACAATGACTGCATCTACCAAAAGACAAACACAACAGTAAAAATAACATCTGCAAATTAGACAAAAAGTTGCCCTAGCGGCCAAACGGGCGTATACGCAATCTAAGGTAAATAGAAGGACGCGGCACTGAACGACACCGGCCACTTTCTGTTATCCTGCTAATTACATAAGAGCTCGAGCAGCATCTGTTTCTCTTCTCTGGCACTGACAGTGTATAGGCGAATTCGTTCACTTTATAAGAGCATTATCTTTGTTTTTGTGCGGTGTATCTGTACCTTTATGGCCGTTTTACGAGCACGCCCACATATATACATATACATATATATTGTGTATATATATTTGCTTGCTCTGGTAAGTAGATCTGTTTGTGTCTGGTGTTTTCATAATGCTGCAATTATGAGGGTGATAAACCCTTGGCCTGGTTTACCTGCGCGCTTTCACTGGCCATTTATCGGCGTTCACCAACATTCAATTATTATTTTAATAAGCTGGCTTTATGCCAGTTGCCAAGCGGATAACGCAATTTGGCTTTAATACGCCATGCTGCACATGAAAGCATCATCGAGTGCAATCTCCGCAACAATCGCAGTCGGAACGCAACTCAAACTGAGCCAAGCCGAATTCAGCTTTAATTATTTAAACACATGTGTGCGGAGACTCGTATTTATATGACGGCGTGTGTGTGCTTGCAGGCCGTAAAACTTGACCCATGCAGCTGGCCGTGCAGTGCCCAGAGCCAAAACGCAAGCGGAAATGCGTTCATGCATAGCAATTTGACTCGTCATCGAGGACGGCTGACGGGCATTGTCCTTAGCGAGCCAGACTAATGAGCCCGCATGTACGCATACAGCTCTCTAAGACGATTATGAACCATTGCGATAATGAATTATGACTGTTTAATGAATGCGAAACATGACTGTTTTGGGCGAGCCCAGTTAACTGTATCCGCAGGCTGAGCTTCTTATTTAATTATGTTCTGTTTAAGGATGGAAACGCTTTTCCTAACATGAGTATGGCCTAAATTGCATGCATATTCAGTAGTGCTCCTTTTAATGTTAAACTTTTTAACAAAAAAATGACATTCTATCTCGCTCGTTTTGAAATCTCTCGGATGAGTAATAAGGACCCCATCTTCGATCCCATAAAGTATATATATTCTTAATCAGCACCAATAGCCGAGTCGATCTAGCCATGTCCGTTTGTCTGTCTGTCCGTCTGTCCGTATGTATGAACGCAAGGATCTCAGAACCTATTAGAGCTAGAGACTTGAAATTTAGTTTTGTTTGTTTCCGATAATCGATAACTGACTCCGTTTCCAAGCAATCGATAAAAATCGATATCGATATCCTGTTTTTTGGGCAATTTTGGTAAATAATAAGAGCTAGAGTCACCAAACTTGACATATAGCTTCTAAAATAGAATATATATATGTATTTGAGGTTGGAAGAAAAGGGTTCAGGGTATCCCCCAGTCGTGAGTTCCCGACTAGAACCTCTTACTTGTTAAATATGTATAAATAAGATAGTAACTTAAAACGTGCACGGGCGGAAAATAAATAGACAATTAATGTCTAAAATTGAAAGTAATAATATCCAGCTGTGAGGAATATATAACTAATTATTCGTGTAGCACATTGAGAATTCGTAAGTTATTAAGGAACGCATTTTCTCATAGGCGTTAAGGAAAGATGAAGCGAAAAATGGGCAGCTAGCAGCGTGAATGTATGTTTTTGTGCATGCATGTATAGAATGAAGGATACTCCCTAGTAAAGAAAATATTAGTATCCGAAAAGCTTTGGGCCGAGTTGGAATCTTGGTTAAGTTAAATTATACAGTGGTCTATGGCATTTATATAGTACCATCCAAATACTACGTAGTCCACCTTAAAATGTATATTCATCTGTCATCAATTTATTTTGAGTTTTATTTGGGTTTAAATACAATAACAAATTGTTTTAATTTGGATTTTTATTAATCTTCGCCCCTTGGCATTTTACTTCTGCGCCGTTTAATAATTGGCGTGGTATTACAGAACTGCACATCGTTTAAGTGGGCGGGCATGTATGCGTAATATGTGGCACTGGTTTGTGTACTTTGGTGAGCATCCATGGCCGCATGAAACACTCTGCCCATCTCTAAGAAGGATACCACAAAATGTTTTGTATATTGGTCCCAAAATTTTTTCATATTTGGACGATTCGCATTGTGGGCCTCAAAGCCCCCGGCTGTAACCTTGGATTTCAATGGCTCTCGACTTGGAGTCCGCACAATGCCATGGGCCAAGATAGCTACTAGATTATCCATGAGGTGTTTGGCCTCATTGAAGTTACGCTTGCGGTCCGCTTGGGTGTAACGTTTACCATAGCGTGCGCAGATCCATTCGAGAAGCATCGGTACGCAATGCACATCCGGCAAGGTAGGCAGTACGAAGCGTCGATCCTGGGCCACGCGCTGCAGCCCTATGCGCAGCATATCCTTCATGAGCACCAGATCATCCGCATCGAAGAACTCTTGACCAAAGTTAATGCGCTCTCCCGGCTCATTGACTTCTGCTTCTGCCTGCGACATCGCGTATATGTCCTGAAATAGGTCGGTGCCCTCCTTGAAGATGCGCTTGGCTGTGCGATTCACAAGAGTATTTATTGAGCCACACTTACGACCAGTTAACACCGCATTCAGGTAGTTCGCATCATTGTCCAGAGCTTTGATGAACTCTACCTTCAGTCGCAATTCCTGGTCGTCCAGCAGTCGGTCCCGGTAGGGTGCAAAGAGCTTCTGATAGTCGAACCTGTAGGGCCGAGCATCCGGGCCCAGCTCAAAGTAATTGCTCTGACTGGTACACTGACATGGAGAAGGCTCCTGGGTCTGAGCCTTGTCCTCCTCCATGTTAGTGTCACCCAGTTGCAGGCTGGGTCGTTCGCTCTGTCTAGGATCATGCTTCTCCGGCAATCTTGCATCTCCATCGTAAACTCGAAGAATTGGCTCATTCTTATGCTTCTTAAATCCAACTGCCTTCGGGCTGTGGTTTCGGCAGGTGTGCGGCAAGATTATACGGCTGTCGGATATATTGAAACCCACAGTATCACCACGCCCACAGGAGGTATCATCCATCCAATCGGCTTCGTTCTTGCCAAGGTATATGAAGCCTGGATCATTCGGATCTTCAATTAGCCTTTTCCTATTCGACCCACCGCGCGCTTTCATGGCCATTTCATGGAACTGCGCCCGATACCGTTCCGTCATGCGATCCAGCTCGTCCAGTGTTCGCTGTCGATTGAGCTCTCGCTGACGGTGGCCAATATTTAGGAATTGTTCGTAACGCTGCTTTTTAATCCTCTCCAGATTTAAGTGCAGCGAGTGCTCCACTTCCCCGATCAGCTTGTGGTGCGAGCTGATGGGTTCCAACTGGCTCGGACCCGCCTGGGACGAGGGCAGGTGGGACAGAATCTGGTCAATTTCGTTATGAAGCACAGACCTAGCAATGCGTTCGACATCGCTGTGGTACACGTCACCGAACCAACGGGACGTGACGGTGTTATGTACCAAATCCGGTTGCACAGTGGGAAACCTAGCCGGTCGTTTCGATGGATAGGATACCAAGCGCTGCTGGCGGGGATTGGGCAACACCGGCTGCTGAAAATAGGGTAACTTGTGGACTGATTTTGGCTGCTGTCGCTGCGGCAACAGCTCCTTAGACTGTTTCTTCATGTACTTAATCCTCTGACGACGGTCCACGGCCTGGGCACGTTTCTGTCGCACTTCCGTTGAGTCATGCGGCAGCGGCAGCACACGGTCCAGCTCGTGAAGCGTCGGAAATAGATCTAGCCAAAATATGGCGGACATAATGATTTGCTCGTTGAACTGATATATGTCCTTTTTATTCTTCGACTTGTAGAACATTTCCATGAGGAACCATAGAAAGGCCACATCGTTGCCCCGGCTCATCTTCAAGAGTAGACGCAAGCCCCTCCTAGACGGCCGCGGACTCACGCCCAAGTGGCACAGCTGATGATGTGCCCGATGGGCGCTACCCTGCAAAATATCGTCGGCCAAGGCGCGCTTCAACCCGTGTGCAGCAGCCATCTGGTTATCGGAGAGTCCACGATACCAGAACGGCTGCAGGCTTATTTTCATAGCGTTTTCTCCGATGCGATCGCGGATAAGTCGATGTATGTGCAGCACTTGCTGCATAGTTTGCGGATCATCTGTTAACTCCATTTCGCTTAGATGCCAATTCAATATTACTCAACTGTTAAACCTTTAAAGGAATCTAATTCAAAACACAGAAATTTAAAGTGCTGTCACAATTGATCAAAATGAAATAACAAACTGTATACGGACCAGGTCGGATCTTATTGGCAATGGCCTGCAGCAGGGTAGATATCGCCGCAAGATAGAAGAGCACTTCCAAAGAAGAGCACTAAATCAGGTATGTGTTACGTGTTAAGAATATATTTAAGATTTCCATTTCTATTTCAATATATTCATGACTAGATATGTCTAGGATTTCGTATAGAGTTATGCCAGGAAAAATTTAGACAAGAATTGTCTACCTTTTAAATTTAAGACTTAATTAGGAATAACTATTATATTTGAAAAGAGAAATATCAAATAGTTGGTAGAAGATGAAATAACCTTAAATATAGCAAACCGGAGTTAATAGAAATATGAGTCCAATATAATTTATATTCTTCTTCAAAGTGTGCTTTATCTTATGTATAAGCACATATTTAAGGCTCTTTAAACCAGACCTTTCCTCACAAGAGCTTAATATCTTTCAATTGGTCTTTGTGCCATATTCGCAAACGTTTTTCCAACACCATTATTTATATTTTCAGTTAAGAAAATGGAAATAAAGATACCCACAAGAAAGGTAAAAGTTGCTATCGAACCCAAGTCAAAGTGAGGCCCAGCCAAAAAATATTTTTAGACTCGCTTTTAATGGGCCTCTGTTTCTTGTGTGTGCGCGCGTGTGTGTGAGTGTCTCTGCTTAGTGTTTGTGACAAT